TAGTGGACCACATGTGTGTAAAATTTGAAATTCTGAACTTAAGTCGGTTACGTTGATTGAATCATTATTCATGGCTACAATATGATTAAACTGTTTATGAGTTCGTCTTGCTATTTGCTGTAATGAAGCGGAAGATTTTCTAATCAATTTTTTTTTATAGAAGATATATAGCTTTCAAATTTAAATGCACTGTAATTATCTAATGGCCCAAGCATTTTTACATCTTCGCAAATGTGCAGTGGGCCGTGAACATTATGAGAAATATACTGTTTTTTATAATAAAGCCCAAAATTACTACGAAGAGTTTTAATAGAGACTGTGCGTATTCATCAATTGCCGTCTGATTCTGTATTTTGCATAAGTGTCTAAAATCGAAATATGAAGTAGAAAAAATGATCATATAGCTTTTTGTTAAATTTAAAAAAAAAAAATAATTGGGCTAGTGTACAGTAAAAAATTGACGGTATTTCTGTAGCTTTCCAGTGTTTCAGTTCTTTTAGAGTTGGTTCCTTGGTTTTCGTGCAAATTTAATTGGTACATAAGGCTTTAAAAACTGGTCATTTTTAAAAAAAATTATTCAACATTTTTATGTGGTATCGTGCTGTAAGGTGCCTCCGCCTATCCTAATATTAATCATTTTTTGTACTACTCCTAAGCACAACAAGGAGCATAAAGTCTAACGGAATATTTATTAGTCCTATAATTTGGATATTTCCTTAAAATGGGATAATCGTTTTGGTAATTGTCATCAGTCAGTTCTTCTTGAGACATAAAGTTCATATTCCTATATTTGGAATATTCCTTAAAATGGGATAATCGACTTAAAGAAAATTTCCTAGCGCGAAAATTCGGCACAGGCTTTTTTCATAATTAAATGCTTCTTCATCTTCTGAAGAATTCGATAATATGCATTGATTTATTCTCCTATAAATCCGTCTTTTGGATATCTGATAATTTTTTTTTTGGTTCTGATCATTTTTATAGAATAAAGGGAAAATTTTGAAACTTACTTTTCACAATCTCTCAATGTAACGCTTGCAAGCGTCAGGAAGTCAGTTCGTAACTGAAACAGAATTTGGAACGACGGCTATTAACGTTTAGCAGAATAGCTGAATTCTGGGAATCAGAAAGTAAGTACGTGTACTTTCCACTTTGTGGGGTTCTTCAAGGATATCACTATTACGGAGCAATTAAAACCGTTGGGGGTATTCTGTGTCCTTTGTTGTGAAGGGATGTTTCCCTTGTAGGGGATACAAAGAAGGGAAGGTCTGAGACATAAATCTGCCACGTTAACAAAAGAGAAATCTTCTTGGGGCATCGGCTACAGAAAAAGTGCTCAGAGGTGTTACATTCTGAGCGGAGCTCGGTTTCTCAAAAGCAAAGAAAATTTGAGAAGCAGTTTTACGAACAATGATAGTGATGGAAACAAACGTTTAATATTTTCAACTTCAATTGTTATTTATAGTATAAAATAAAGTATAAAAACTGCTGAGTTTAAAGAACGCGTTTAATTTAAAAATTAAATCATTTTAATTTAAAGTCTGAACATCTATTTGAGCCGTTATCTAATTTTGATTTTTCATAACAACATTTAACTTTGTGTTATATACCATGAAGAAAAGTGTTTACTGCATTTTCTGCATGTTACAAATAAATTAATAAAGCAGTAATTATTGTTAAATTATGAGGAGTTCGTGTAGCATTGCCGGCATAACGTATAAGATTGGCAGAGCGCTGGATATAATTTTTTCGCCGCTTTTTTTAGCAAAGACCGGAATATTTGTATGGTTAAAGAGATAGCAAAGTGAGGTTTGAGGAGAGTAAGAACTTACTGTTACTTCTTCCCATTCCTTAAACCTCATTTTCCTATTACACAGAGAGGTAAAAAATAAAGTTACTTCTTACTTCAGTCGCTTTAAAAGACTAATTCTCATTATTAAAGAACTTATCAGAAAATGAACGAAGAAACCAGCAAAGAATTTTTTAAGCCCAATAAGATGATTCTTCTATTTATAAATTCAAATTAAAGCAAGTTAAACCTCGTACAGACTAGTTTTTAACTGCGTCTGTAAACCTAAAATTTCGTTTGTTTAAAAAAAAAAAAATTATTGTTACTTATTACTGCATAGCACTAAACATCATTCATTACTAATATAATAGTGTAACAGATCAAAAAGTATTTTTTTCTTTTGCAGTTTCAAAATATAGTTCTTTCTATGCTAAGAACTATTGATGAATTTAATAGAATACTTTTATATCTTGATATTTCTGATTAGTGCCTCAGAGACAGGTAAGTGATTAGTGACTGATTGCCGTACAGTAGGGCTCAAGTTCGAATGCCAGATAAGGCATGGATGTACATCATGCCCATCTGTTCATAGGATAATGTCTTCCTGAAGATTTTTCTGAGTTAACCTGTAACGTAAATAATATTTGTGTTCAAAGATATTAGAAAAGTATCTAAAATAATGTTTACAAAATATATTATGTAGCAATTAGAATTAATCGTAAACACACTTTCAATATGAAACTCAAACGGTTTGAAACTCGTGCTATAATTTGTAAGAAAGTACTCTGATCACTAGACCTGTGAAACAAAAACAAAAATTTGAAATATTATTACTTAATACTTACAGCCAACATAAACAAGACAAAAAACCAGTTGTAATCATAACAAATAAATTTTCATATACAGAATAGGTAATCCATAGAGTAAGATTCATTCTTATAACATGACTTGCGTGTGGTACAGGTTACTTTACTTTAATATTTTCAGATAGAGCTCCATAAAAGTAAGTACTGAAGATATCTGAGAACAACATCCTCAGGAGACTTCTTATATCCCGGGATTACGACTTGAACAGGACATCCTTAAGATGTTGATTTACGAAGTGCTCAGGATATCTGAAAATCAACATCCTGAGGAGATCTTCATATATACCGGGACTTTGAGATTTGAATAGGATATCCTCAGGAGGTTGACTTAAGAAGTCCTCAGGATATTTTAGAATCAACATCCTCAGGATATCCTAACTGCTTCCCGGGACATTGCGACTTAAATAGGATATCCTGAGGATGTCTTGTGTTATGGGGGATTGATTTCCATTCCTCTTCCACTACTTTCCACAGTCCATCCATTGTGATATGTTGGTGCTTACAAAGAATTCTTTTCGAAGAACAAAGGCACAAGGATACTTAGGCGAAACACAAGGGGATTTTTCAGGAATATGCTGAAAAGTTACATACGCAATACCTGTATCAGACTTTATTTTTTCAAGGAATAAAGTGGAACTTTTTGAAGTATGACTTACTGTTTTGTGTGGATTAAGTTTCACTCTTTGAAAGGCATTAGGATAAGAAAAATGGACTTCTTTCTGCAAACACTGGACATAAAAATTTCTCTTGATAGTATGTTGAGTTAAGTTTAACATTCCCCCCTCTTCTTATTTTTAATTTCCCATTATAACAGAATCCTGTGACAATCATAAACCAAATAGTGAAACTTTCTCTGCATTGACAGAACCAGGTTTCTAAAATTTTTTTGTCTTCATTTTCGATAAGAAATAAACCTATTATTGCTGTAGTCATTTAGGCAAGCCCATGCTTTATCAAGAGTAACAATGCATTCTATTTATTTCCTACTGCAGGGTCTACAAATATTTTTGCAATGAGGCACATGCCTCGGTAAAAATTGGTCAACATTATGTTTTGTAGCTTTTTTAAGATATACATCTTGATTTATTAGCCCAAAGGGCTTTAGCTCAGAAGGGCTATTAATTCAGTTTTGTCATTTTGCGTTGATTCACTTTTTAAACTGTTGCCACCAAATAGTACAGCCCTGTATTATATTTAAAGTAATTAAATAATGAGGGATTTACATAAATGTATATCTGTTTCTAGCACTGTGATAAAACAACGGTACCTATGAGCCATCAGATTTTTGAATAACGTAACTCCTCCACCCGAATATTGGGTATCTTGGAAGAACGAATTTCGGAAAATTTTGGAATTTGTTTTATTATCTATTTCACATTTTTGTCAGACATTAAAGAATACTTTATTAACAAACGAAGCGATTTCGAAGCAAGTATTTTCAACACTGTACGAAAAAAAAAAAAACAAAAAAAAAAAAACACTTTTATTTCCAGCGCGCGAGACTTTGTATCGGAAATTCTAAAGATATGCTCATTTTAAAATTATTTTGGGATATTGCTGTTAAATTGAATTTTATGCTAAGTGCGAAGAACATGATATTTAATAAATATAGGTAACACACAAATTGTTAAAAAACGTAATAATTGTAATAAAAAATCTAAAAGATTTCAGATTTTCTTTAAAATTTGATTTATTATCGTTACAGATGTATTTAAAAACTCTGCAATTGATTTCTGCTTCAGTAAAGTTCAATGATTTAACTTTAGAAAAAAGAGAAATAGTAAATACTTTTCAGGGTATTTGTTTAGAGTCTTCTTCCCGCATAGAAGTAACTACTGACGGATTTCCTTGTTCCAATTAATAATGTTGCGTCAGCGTATTTTGCACTTAGAAATTATAATGCTTTGAATTTTACAATATTTTTGAATTACGAAATAGGATTATTTATTTCCGGAAAGCGCAAAAGCATACCCTTCAGTCCACAGCTTGTTTACATGCAAAATTTTGGAAGAAGAATAAATTTAAAAGCAGCAGACGATATTTCTCATCTCAAATAATAAGCTGAAATTTAAAATTTTAAGCTGAATGTTGCCAGAAATGTTTTTTCCAAGACATTTGATTTTTGTCAATTTTTTATCGAAAGCATTCTAGAGATGTGTAAACACCCTCTTCAGTTAGAAATAAAATGAAATAAAACTTAATAATTCTAACGATTTCAGTACTTCAGTTAAGGTAATCAAAAACCAAACAAAACAAAATTCTGGAAAATACTTTTAAGCAATGGGAGCAACAGAATTTTTTCCATATATCTGAAAATATTCAGTTAATTAGCAAATTGTGCTTACTTCATTGCCATCTGATAATGCTGAAGAGCTTCTTCATATCTGTTGAGGGATTCAAGTACTTGACCCATGTTGTTATACAGCTTTCCATTTTGCTGGTTAACTGCTAGAGCTGAACGATACAGGGTGTACTCAGACTGCCTAAATAACAAAAAGATTTTTAGAACAAATTATAAATAGCGCTTTAAAACTAAGAAGAAGAAAGAAAATTTGAAATGATTCCAGTTTTTAAGTCTCACCAGAGGATATATTAACGTTTCTTTTTACTCTCACGTGGTTCAACGTAAGTTATCAATCTGGCTCTCAGATTCTCTCTTGCTAATACAGCTTTTTTTTTTTTTTTGTCCTTTTAGCTTTATTATTAGGCATCTCTTTCTTCTCACTTACGCCAAATGAAATTCAACAGTCAAACCACAAAATGTTTAAAAACAGCATGTCTTTAGAATTCCCGATACAGGGTTAGGAGTTGCCGTACATTTATTTTATATTCGCTATATTATTTCTTTAAAAACTAGCCATTCGAGCGGCCAACTGCTTAAGAGATTCGATGAATAATATGAATGAGAACCCATCACAATGCTTATTTGACAAAAATTGTGAACCCAAAAGCGATGTGTTATGCAGAGCTTTATCACGTGTTGTAGGACGTGCCTAAGGAAAGGGATGTTTCAGTGGAGGACTTTTCTGAGGGAAAATAATTTATATACATGAGGTATCCCCTTTTACATGGAAAAAAACCATGATAGCACTCATATTTTTACCCACTGCAAGCATCTGAACCTGTGTTGTATTACCGGTGGTCAGCGATAGTACCCATTCGGTTACTTGCGGGTTAATTAAAGACTATAAATAGCCCTTTCATTATTCAGAATTCATTTTAATGTTCATGGATAGAAATTCAAATTACACAGTTTCACCAGGGAAAATAATACTCAAATCACTTTGATGCTGGGTATTTCTTGTTGCGATATTTTTTGGCGAAGCGAAAAAGTAACTCAAACCGCTAGTAAGATTTATTTTCCTTCACATGCTATGTCTTTTAAATTTAAATCTTTCCTGCACTTCTGCTTTTTGTAAAATTCGCTATATATGTAAATTATGACCGTGTAAATAAAGAGCGAGAATCTAAGCCAAATTTGTCGCCTTTTGTGGTCTAACACTGAAATTACCTATTCAGAATTTTGTAGAATGTAAGCGGTGGTTTTCTCGTGCAGTAAATGGGTAGCATAAGAGACCATCTTTTGGCATTTAGGGAAAATTTCAGGATCAACCAATATCGGTATTTTCTGGTGTGATACTACTTGTAGAATGCCATAACCATGCTTTTGGTGTATTTTGTGTTATCAAAATGCGGTATCAGTTGTGGAACGGCTGGTAAGTTATTTTTTCAACGTTGCCGGCTTCGTACATTTTGGTATTTTGTTGACGTGACTATTATTACAAATTCGTAGATCTTGTTCTCTACGAGGAGGGATGGTAATTCCTTTCTATTGAAAGATTTTGAAACTTCTGTAGCGAGAGGATTGATAGCACTGCGAAAATGTAAAACACGTGAACGAAACATTGAAGACATCAGCACATATACCAGAAAAAGACGTTTAGTTCCATACGAGATTTGCCAGCAAGAACAGAGCATATGCGTATGGGATACAGGCAATATGTGGTGTATGTAATAAAAAAATCGAACCCCTTTGCACAAAATGGTAGTACACAATTTGCAACTTTGGACTCTGCCTGAATAATAAGAACTATTTTCTACTGTTTCTGTAATCAAAAATAAATCAAGACATACAATCCTTGTGATACTGTTGTTCAGTTTGTTAGCTTATTTAAATTGATATTTCATTTTTGTAACTGATTAGCTTTTAATTTTAAGTGGTTCCTAATTTAAACTGGTATTAATCTGTTTTGAATTTATTTATTGGTTTTAAGTTTTTTAAGGATTTTTTATATGAGTTGTAATTATTCTTTTTACACGAATTTCGTGATTTGTAATGATTAATCATTTTTTAACTTTCAAGAACAAAAGCTCATTATGTTTAATTTCTTTTATGCGAACTTAATTCTTATTAAGTTTTGTTTTGATTTATGCTTTTGAATAAACTGATGTTTGATTTGTTTGATAAAAGGGGTTAGTGCCTTTCTTGTTTACTAATTTTAAATTTTTATGTTACAGTTAATGATTTTTAAACTCAGTTGTTCTGCTAATTTTAATTTGCTTTAAATTTTCCTCTCTTTCATGTAAAATTAACGAATCTTTAGTTTTTGGATCAACTGGTATTTCAACAACTTGTAAGTATGATAAAAGAAAATTCATGTAATAATAAAGAATAAGAAAGCCTTTGAATAAGAAAATGTAAAAATATAAAATATTCCAAAAAGGACTGTCAATGAATTCCTGAATTTGTCTCAAATGTTCTTATCATCCTTCGTGTTGTTTGGCTTAGTGAATCGAAGGGAAGAACTTCGTTTCAGGGTGACATTGCCGATGTAACAGAATGTGGAACATCTTGCTCCTATTAGACAAATGGGTCCTGGTAGCGTGGCTAAAATACGTATGCGTTTGCTTTGCGAACTTTAAAGGAAAGGGGCCGAAAGGGTCCCTACTTATGACCGTGGAAAAAGGGGATTAACAGTGAAGCTAGTTGTTGGAATTTAGTTTACAGTCGGAAACTTCGAGACAAGGAGGCCAACGTGATGTGGAGAGTTTTCTTCGGTTGCTTGTTCGGAGATCTTGGTGTTGCGGAGGGTGAAAAAGATGTGCTTTCTATGAAATTTGGTAGATCAACTTTGCTTTGATTCAGAGGACTTTTTAATGTCTTTCATTATCTGTGACCAAATGATTCTTCAGGCATTGGCTATATTCTCAGGAATAACAAGAAACAGCATCAGGATTTTAATAATTTAAACCATTTAATGCTCCTCGCAAAGATAAGCGCAGGAGGAACATGCTTGTAGTTTAATTTAGTACATATACTGCGCAAAAATCAAGAATAAACCTGTAATGCCATAATTTATTATTTTAAAATTTTATTCAGTGACACATATTTGATCCCTTCTATAATCAAAAATAATTTCCTTCCGTGCGATAAATAACTATGATTATAAATCCAAAGGCCCTAAAGGCATATTTTTGCCTAGTTAAAATTAAGTGCAATAAAACTCGGCAGATTGCTGTTTAATTTATTGAATTTCTTAAATGAAAACAAATAAGCCTCAAAGCCAAATGCGCATTTGAATAAAATAGAAAATTTCAAAATAATTTGGGACCTAGGAGGATTTCTTTCATTTTAGGTTATTGTGAGACACATTATTGAATAAGTTAACTAAGTGACTAAATCTGGAATGCAATTTAAGTATAGGGAAGTTAAGATAGTTTAATACTATCGTAATCAAATTTAAGTGAAATGTTTGTTAAAGCTATTTAATAGCTATTTCTCAATGCTCAAATATCATGTACTAGCCGCTACGCGGCCAGCCTTCATCTGGCTTTTAATGTACCGGAAAAATGCCTAAAGGGAACACCAAACATTAAATTTAAAAACTGCACAGAATTCTACTCTGCAGAAAAACTTACAATAAATAATAATAATAAAATAAAAAATATTCAATAAAATTTATTACATATTAAAAAAATTACAATGATATAAGCAATATCCCTTAATACAAATATTAATTGTCCTAATAAGTAAATTAACCGCCTTCCCGTTGCCTTCTCTTGACAAACGTCCAGTATCCAAGAGAAACATTAAATTTAAAAACTGCGCAGAATTATCGCTCTCCTTTTTCCCAGTGGCAACAGTGCTGATATAGCAACAATGGCTGCGTACCATTGCTGCTAATATAATGAGAGAGAATTATCGATTTGATGCGGAGGGGGAAGGGACAGTTCTATATCTCCCGTTCAACTGGGACGATTGACGAAATTCAAATTGCGGTTTTCATGTCTCGAAAGCACGACTTAGGATAGATAGCGTTGTAGCGAATTTACTGAAACCTTTAAATAGCGCACCTGATCATTTACACTTGAGAAAAGCGTAGTAGAACCTTTAAAGCAGAATTTAAGAGCACTGTTTATAATTTTTTCTAATGATTCGAAAACGGTGGAAGGATAGGCTAAAGTAGTAAAATGTAGTGGCGGTACTAAAGTTTTTCAGTATTTGTTTAGGTGGTACGTGCTAGTCAAAAGTTTGAGAACCGCTGGAAACCTTTATAACAGAATTTAAATGCTCTCTCTATCAGCATTTAGAGAATGTTTCGAAAACGTGATTTCGAAAAAAGTACCTTCGTCCACCTAAATGAAACAGTCTTACAGTATTATGAGCCACTGGATAAATCAATGTGCTTTGGGCCTTAAGAAAGCCACTTACAGAAAGGAAATGTATTAGCATGGGACCCTATGATCATAGGATCTTCGGGAAAGTGCCCAGAAAGCCCGTGCATTGAGGCGGCCCTACTGCTGAATACCGGTAGTTCAACCTGGATTTGAATCTAAGAGAACGGCTGTCTTCAGGGTTGGTTTTTCCCATGTGTAACTCGAGTACCTGCTTGTGTCTTTTAGAAAGTTCTCCGAGAAAGCGTCCCTTTCCTAAGGCAGTGTTTTTCCATACCCAAATAGCCAAATCACGTGCTACCTCTGTAGAACTATAGTACTTTTTATTTCTAATGGCAGATTGTGAACAATTACAAATGTAACCCAGTCCATTAATCTATACAAGGTCGGATGTGGTGGTCTCTTTATTATGGAGGCACCTAATAGGTGGGCCACCATCGCCTTTCCTATAAAGGGACGGACAGTTACAACCATGCCTTCTCCGGGATTCGAACCCAGGCCCTTCGGTATCGCAGTCAGCTTCCCTGACCACTATACCAACTGGGCGGCAGAACTATAGTATTAGCATTGTTACTTTTGGAAAGGAAAGTACGATACAGTAAAATAAGGCACTTATTTATATCACTATCACCAGCTGGAGATTTTGCAAAATTGAGTAACGTTGCCAACCTCCTGGTTCGGAGATGTATTTTTTTAGTAAAGTAATTCATCTCATTATGTTTATTATTTTTGTTTTGGAGGCCCGTTCTTGATAGATATTTTTACATGCTATGGCGTTTTCTTTGCGTGGAGATACTAATTATTCTATTTAAGTTTGGCAGCACACTGCCTTGGAACAGTCAAATTACAAAATAAAAACTCTCTGACATTTTTCCAAATACCAACAATATGGCGGGATGGAGATAAAAATATTTCATTTTGAACAGTGCTGTCACATCTCACTTTCATACCGCTGAGTTTATTAAACAAAAATTCGTAAAAATTTACGAAATGTGAAATAAATCAAGAACATATTCGAGCTTCGAGTTGCCTATGTTCGAGTGAACTACATGTATTAAAAATTCGCTGGCTCTAGGTTTCGCCGTATTCCCACAATGTCAGGAACATACTTCTACATACATACAAATTCTTCATAATTTAGTTTTTTTAACCAATACATGGTCATAATATTTGGATAACAGCAATTTGAAAATTGATTCGGTCGCAAGCGGTACGGACAGAATGTGAGTTTCGAGACTAATGGCACCTCTGGTGTTAATAAAAGATAATTTTTAAAAATCAAACTAAACTTTGGCAAAATTCGGTTTATTACTTCCTGTTCAAATCATCATTTCCTATTTGACATAGCAGCAAATTGAATCAAATTCAATATTTCCTAAATACTCATTTGGAAACGAAACCTTTATCCCTAAGTTCTGTATTTTTCTTAGAATTCCATCAATGACTGGATACCGTCGGGAAATCCTATTAGAATAATTTAACGTCTCCGGTTTAAATATAATCCCCCATGCCAAACGGTAATCTTAAGATGAAATGCTGTTGCATGCAAGATAGCAATTACAGAGGAGAACACACGTAAATTTTCCGCATTGCGTGACATTTCAAGAAGAACAATCCAGATGAATGAGACGAACTTCGTAACTTTTAACAGCGGATTTTATCCATCTCTTTTCGTTGATTACCTAGTGATTATTTCCATGCACGTAACAGATGAAGCGGGATTTAGACAATCCGTTTTTGAATATTTTGGCTGAATGATAATGTAAAAGTTTATGGACTGCTACATAAATTGTTACCGGCATTGTATCATATATTGATATGGGCAACGTCGTCATTTTATAAAATACCAAGACATCTTATAGAATGCTCGACATTTTTCGGGAAAGTATGAAATAAGACAATTCGCCTTCTATATAATACCTAGGCACTCTATAAAACGTCGATGGTTATTTAGACAAAGTATAAAAAAAGGCCATGATAAGGCTATTATTTATAAGACGTGAATTCCTCAAAATTACGAATGTTGTTTTGAAGAAATAATGAAAGCGAGCCATTAAAAAACTTTAATTCAAATGTGTAAAGAAAAACGAAAGTCCCACAAAACAAAATTTATACTTTTCTTGCTATAGAAGGCTGCCAGGCATCGAACTCCGGACCATTTGATTGTTAGCCGAAAGTGCTTCCAGTTATACCACGAATGCACAATGTAAGAAGGGATAAAATATCTTAAATATTTTTATAGCTGTTTAACCGTCTTGAATGCCTGTGGAAATATAGGGAAACAACAACATTACAGTAAATTTGCCAGCCAAACATTGCTTTAGACACGTAAAAGTATAAGCCTTTGATTCTAAAATACTATTTTATTACTCAGTGCTTTTTTTTTTTTTTGTTTCATGGATATAATGATTTAAAATTGCATGTTTATTATCTTATTTTAGGAAAACAATATTTCTGTTCGTACTTTTTTGTAATGGAATTTATATATGTACTTGTATCTATATTTTGGATAATAGATGCTGGAAATTAACTTCAATTTTGAAAAATTTCAGTTTGTGACAAGATAATTTTTCAGAAAACATCTTCCCTCGCAAAATTAATTTCTTCTCCCTACTGCCCTCCCTCCGCTCAGTATCCAATATTTCTTCTCAATTCCTCCAATGATTTTATTTACTCCAGGGTGAGGCAAAATAAACCCATATGTGAGGGATAATATTTTCTTATCCCTCCTTAAAAGCTAAACACTTGAATAAATGCATTTCTATTATTCATTCAACTAAGTAACAAGTATTAGGAATTTTCGTGGAATTATGGCAATAAGAATCAGCGCAATATTCATAATTTAGAAGGATTGCTTTCTAGATTTAACTCAAACCTTTTTCAGTACAAATGACGAAACATAAGTCTCTACCAAAGCGATAACAATCAAAGAAAACCAAGAAACTGGCGCTATCTGTTGATAAAAAATGAAAACAACTGTGAAATAATTTTCTTAAAAGATGGGGGTAAACACGGATTGGAAATGGGATCATTAACTAGAGCCAAAATAATTTTATGAATGCCAAACGCCTTTATAAATCTAATTTGTCAACTGAATTTGTTTTTGAATAGTTTTGACTGCAGAAGATGTGATATTTGGACCATCAGTGCTGGGCAACAGACAATTTATGTGTTCCTTTTTTCCTAACACACGCCTCCTCCTTCGCGCAAAATTTTATGGCTCTTAGTTTAATTAATGTAAATTAAATCACACTAGTAAGTAATCTCGTATATACCCAAAGATTTCATACCAGGAATGGGGGCTTTATGTATAAAACTGCGAAAAATTATTGACAGAAGAGAAAACGAACCGAAAGTTGAATTCTTGTAAAATACCTGCAATTTTGTAGCTAATAGATGGAAATAAAGGAATGACAACATAATTCTTATAATTTCCTAAAACGTGAGGGTGCATTTTGATGTGCTGAAATGAGAATATTGTAACTGTTTGGTAAATAATGTTAGATGAGAAGCCTCTGTCAATAGCAATTGTTTTAAGTAGTTTAGTTCTTGGTCGAAAGCCGATTTAGTGGAACAAACTTGAAGTACACGAACCCGAAGTAATAAAATAAAACTAACTTCTGCATTCAGTTGAATGACACGATTTGAAATGGTGTGTAAGGTAAAGAGATGAAGTTTTATGATATACAGCAGAAATATGAAATTAACGAAGAGTATATAGAACGTGAAATGGTGTGATGTTCGTATCTACGACAAAGAGACAAAGTTATTCATTTAGTAATTTGAAAGTCAAAATTAATGTACTCACCAGTCTCCATTTCGTTTAACAGTTTTCCAAATGTGAATTGTCAGAAGAAAAACAATGCCAAATATTGCGAAATATCTGTAAATTCTGAAAAAAAAAAGTAAAAAATGAATTACGAAACTGCTTTTAAGAATTATGTGCATCAGAATTAAATAAATATAAAACAAGAACTTTATTTATTTTTCTTTAATTTAATTCTTTTAATGCAGTCTTTGTATTACCAATTACAGTCTGAGGAAATTTTCATTTTGAGGTTCGTAATATTTTCGTTGCTTTCAACAGAAGATTCCCGTTTACGGCTGCTCTTTTCATAGAAATAAAGTTGTATTGTTCAGTCAGGGCTTAATATGATGACGTACTAGGTTACAGCTCCTACTGAATATTTTCCTTTGGAATATGGTTTTCGTATAACCATTGCTCAAATTTTTCTCAAAGGTATTAACAATTTCTTCGGCTTCAAGATTTACGATTTGTTTACCAGGAAAAGATAATAATTTGAAACCTCTTTTTAGTTTGACGCCAAGGCAGAGCGTTCATAAGGACTTTAGCGTATTACTTCATGGTATCTAGTGTTCTGGCTGAATTGAACAAAGGGCCAGAGCATTTGACCATTTATTTGTACCGTTCATCCATGTAGTTAACATATTCCATATTCCATGAGGCTTTCCATGAGGCTTTCCATGAGCTATCTTGGCATTTTCCACACAGCGCATAGTTCGGATACGACTTCGTCACTGAATTCTCTGACATTACCTGAACGTAATATAGCTGGGAAACCAAATGTTAAAAATGCTTGAAGATACTTGATTTGAAGGTAATACGCTACTGCTTCAATTGTCTTTATTTTCAAAAGATGTAGCTGGACAAACTTCGTCAACTGATCCTCCATTTGCTTGTCAAGAATTTGCTAATTATTGTACTAATGAAAATTTTCGTTTATCCTTAATTATAATAAGATTACCAAGAGCTAACAGACAAGTAGAACGCTTAAATTCCATTATTATTTCAGGCATTTATAAAATGGCCGTAGGTGATGCTACGAAATGGTAAAAGCATGTGAATGATGTCTAACAAATTATTAATTTTACTTTTCAGAGGAGCATAAATTCGACACCCTTCGATTTTTTTGTTTGGTACGAAGATGACGACGAATAAAGACAGGAAGATCAGAGAAGTGATAGAAGCTTAAATCCAGAATGACTTCATTGAATCTAGAGATAATCTACGTAAAGAGGCGGAAAAGCAGATTCAGAATATCCAAGACGAAAATCGAAAGACAATCGAAGTCGAAAATTCCCTTGTAAATAGAAAATGTGATATGGTAACTATCAAATGCACTTAACAGGGTCCAGTTATAAGGCTAAAATCCAAGTTTTTAGGTACGTACAAAATCATTAGAGTGAAACTTAATAATGCATACGACATGGGGAAGGTTGGATTTTCCGAAGAACCTTTGAAGAATAGTACCCCTGCAGAGCCCCCAGACGAAAAAGTGGTTAGACACCCTAACTGCCGTACAACAAATTTTTACTAATTTGACTAAAAGTTTATTGGTGTGCACTGTATTGTTTTAAAAGATACGAACTATTTTAAGAAGAATACAAAAGACGATTAAGGAGAAAATGCATTAAGAAGACTTCAGTGTGTAAGAAGACACATTTAAAAAGACTTATCCAGTGATGTTTATGAAACGTATGTATGAAGACAAATTCAGCAGGATGTATCCAGATAACGTTCAAGAAGAGATTCCCCGACCATGTCGTTCATTTTTCCCTCAGTGAAACATAAAATTATCATCTTAATCTCTTCTTTTATTTATTTTATAGATTTCCAGATGATGATGACCTTTTTTGCAGCCCGTGAGAACACATGTCGTCAAGATGGAGAAGCAAATGTAAGATATTTCGGTTTGATAAAGTTTGTAATTATGTAGAAAAATTACTAGGAGCTATATTCATCACGAACTATAGATGCTCATCGATCAATCTGGATCTTTTCTCAGATTTATTAATTTTCAGCAGCAGATGCTTAATACTTTGATACTTTGGAATTACGCTCAAATATAAATATAATCTTCAACAAGTCTTTTCATGCTGCAAAAATTCGTAATTCAGGGTATTTATCTTTTGATGAGCACGAATAAATGTTATCAGAAAAATTACAGCGTAAACAAATCAGGTCATTTTTTAGGTTTTCTGCGGCGTCTCTAATGGTAATGAAAATAATGTATAATTAGACAGCACGTCATCAAAATTTCCATCTTTTTTTTTAAAAGATGTTTTCGTAATAAATCTAAGTGGTTTACAGGAAGTGTATCTGCTTTCTGCACAATTAATTCCATGCCAACTGAAATCCTTCACTTGAACTTCTTAGCCTCCCTCCGATATTAGACACATGAAACAAAAAAAAAATTATTATACTCAAGAAATATAAAAAAATACATATTAATAATGCCAGGCATCGAACTCCGGACCATTTGATTGTTAGCCGAAAGTGCTTCCAGTTATACCACGAATGCACAATGTAAGAAGGGATAAAATATCTAAATATTTTTATAGCTGTTTAACCGTCTTGAATGCCTGTGGAAATATAGGGAAACAACAACATTACAGTAAATTTGCCAGCCAAAACATTGCTTTTAGACACGTAAAAGTATAGCCTTTGATTCTAAAATACTATTTTACTCCAGTGCTTTTTTTTTTTTTTGTTTTCATGGATATAATGATTTAAAATTGCATGTTTATTATCTTATTTTAGGAAAAACAATATTTCTGTTCGTTCGTACTTTTTTGTAATGGAATTTATATATGTATCTATCTATTTTGGATAATAGATGCTGGAAATTAACTTCAATTTTGAAAAATTTCAGTTTGTGACAAGATAATTTTTCAGAAAACATCTTCCCTCGCAAAATTAATTTCTTCTTCCCTAACTGCCCTCCCTCCGCTCAGTATCCAAATATTTCTTCTCAAATTCCTCCAATGATTTTATTTACTCCAGGGTGAGGCAAAATAAACCCATATGTGAGGGATAATATTTTCTTATCCCTCCTTAAAAGCTAAACACTTGAATAAATGCATTTCTATTATTCATTCAACTAAGTAACAAGTATTAGGAATTTTCGTGGAATTATGGCAATAAGAATCAGTTAGTTCAGTACACCACATTTTTTATACGTATTCATCATCAGTTCTTTGATCAATGGTGAATACAATATGTGCTTCATAAATAAGGTAGTCGAAATTAAAGATATCGAAGGAGATTATGTTTTCTTATCGCTCCTCAAAAGCTAAAAACCTGAATAAAAATAATTCTCTTATTTATTCAACTACTTAATAAGTATGGAGGGCAAGAAATGTGGGATATCACCTTTCACTACAGAGAGATGGCGCTGTACGATGTTTGACAGAACGGCTTTTTAAAAACAAAAAGCAGAGAAGGGCCCCATGACAAAATAATACGTAGAAAGATGTGTACGACGTTATAAAGATGAAAGAACTTCTTTTTATACTTCTTTATTATGGAAAATTTCCTGTAAATACATATGTTTCTATCGCCGATTTTCAAAGTGTGTAAAAATCGTTGATAATCTCCATTAAATATTGCCGTTAAAATTCCAGTTGGACTAATGTTTGGTGGTGTATTTAATTATGGCAAAGCACACGAGGGCTATCTGCCTAAAGGGAGGGATGCCTTTGTGGAGGATTTTCCAAGGGAAACTGGCTCTTATACACGTTACACATGGGGAAAACCACGAAAACGCCCATGCAGCCAGCCCGTTCGCGGGATTCGAACCTCGGACCGAATACCAGTGTTTAGCGACTTTACCGCTCGACCGCTGGTGGGCCTTTTGGACTAATGTTTGGACTTTCTGACCTTTTGAAAGCTCCAGCCATTTGATGAAGTATATTCTCAGACATCAAAGTGACATACGTACTCCATATATATATATATATATATATATATATATATATGCAGGGTGTTTCAGCAAATCGGTTACAAATTTTCTGGAGAGATAGAGTACACCTAGATGATGGAAAAACGTATACCAATGCACGGTCGAAAATGTTTTCCTGGCGCTGTAGTGACGACGCAAAACGCAAAACACAAGAAAAGAAGGACACGAACAGGGTTTATGTTTTTTTACGCTTAGTGCAGAGGAAATCAAGAAATAAGAATAAGAACAGACGATTGCCATCAAAGAAGGTGTTGAAAATTACGTTCGAAACGTATCCTCGATTTATCGGATAGCAGGGAAGATCTGGTGCATTGGTCAGGAGGCTAGGCCAGACCTCACTAGCGTTGACTACTTCCCTTCGGGGTACGTCAAGATATTGGTGTAACAGATCTGCGGAAATAGTTGCACTGCTGGAGAAATCTGGGACACGCCTGGTATTTTACGGAATATCAAATCGTTCATGAGCTGGGGATATGAGGCCTGCATCACGGTTCGGGGGCGTAATTTCGAACACCTCTTTGATGATAATGGTTGTCTGATTTTGTTCTTATTTTTTTATTTTAGATCTACTTATCATAATTAACATGTTTTCTCACCTTATCCTCTGTCCTTCCTTTCTTGTCCTTTGTGTTGAAATATCGAAATTCATCAAGAAAAATATTAAAAAAAATTGTAAATGCAACTCAATTGACAACTTTAAGAGCTTACATTCTTTGCACTGCATTTCTTCAGTTTGCATTTTCTCAATAAATCCTTTTACTCAATTTCTAATATTTACATAGACGTGAGATAAATTAGTGAATATTTTTAGTGCGTTTTTATTTTTATACACTTAATAGAAATAAGAACCGATTTTACAAACTACTGAAATGAAAAACTGGAAAATGTAATTTAAATCATGTTTTTTTCAAAGTTGATACTTATAGATATGCTTTTTATTTTCCTCAGAAACTAATTCATTAATTGAAAAATCGATCCTAAAAATTATGAAAAACATTCTAATAAATACAATAAACACTGGGGTAAAGGCATTAAAATTGCAGAAGAAAGATATTTAATTGTTCAGTTTTTCTTCCAAAAATTTCAAAAGCAGCATATTTTTAAATACCCGATAAAGTGCTGCGACACATTTTTAAATACTTTTTACTTCCTTGTACGAAGATAAGGACGTATTGTAATCACGAA